ATTCTAACTGACCAAACTGCATCCAAGAATGTCTCTAAACAAATGAACCAAAGAAACATGATTAAATTCTCCTGTTGAAGAAACCAAGAGTTTTTGCCAGCCCTACTGCTTCTGAGGATTAGGCTAAGCAGCCCATTCCCAAGGCTGGTTCTGTCCCCCACCCAAGTTTCTCATCTCAAGAGGAGGGCTGGGAGTGGAGGTGGGAACGGGGAACCTGTCCCCTCCTCCCATATGCTGGGAACTCTTAGGAAGTTACCGGTGGGGTAAGCCTCTCCTCTCACCCCATAAATATTAATTGTATCTTTTACTATAACCCTATAAGGCAGGTATGTATTATTAAACCCACTTTATAGAGAAGGAAATAGAGGCTAAGAAATAAGGTAAATAACTTGCCCAAAATGACACAGCTACTAAGCAATAGAGGTCTAGATCTCTTTGACCACAAGACCCACATTCAATTACATATGCTGCTTCTCTTTCCTATGCTTTCCATTACTATTTAAAATTATTGCACAGAGCACATGCACATTCAGATAATACATTACTTTTTTCTTATTTAAGAGGCAAGAAATGATAATTAAACTGAACAAATTGATTAAACTGGTAAACTGATAAAAGAATCCTCAATTTTCAGAGAGTTTAAAACAACTTAAATTCAATCCTAGATTGGTTATACAACCATCTATTTCTCTGACTAAATGGCTAATATATATCTACACAATATATAAAATTCAGATGAATACAATCCACCAAATTGATAAATATTTTAACAACTTGATAACTTTGTAATATAGCAGCTAAAATATTGTAAGGCTCATTGTACAATAGATATTGTTAACTGAGGAGATTTAGACTATAGTCTAATTTTTCTGAGGACCTACAGCCTTATATCATGTAAATTTTTATATTTCATTAGTTGACATTTTTACCAGATTACTAATTTGGTCATTTATTACTAAATACAAATAGGATTAGCTTTGTATTTATGTTATAGGAAAAATAGACTTTTATAATGTACCACCACAGGAAAAGTGTAAAATGTAATGTGAAGTGAAAATGGTGGATTTTAACACTGAAATAATTACAGAAACATCATGTAAGGATGTGAGAAGTAACTAGAAGGAAATACAGAAAAAGATTTGTTGGGACAACACAACTGGAAGTGATTTTATTTCATTTATATCTTGTTCTATCAAACAATAAGATTTTAGAAAGCCACAAAACCTGCATTTACTTCAGTAATGCTGCCCCCAAACCAGCAACCAACTTGTCAAGTGTTTAAATATGTGGGCTGTAATAGCATACTTACATAAATACATGTACCATCTATTCTTTGTAAAGATAATTGAAGAGGTACTTGAAAGTTACAGGGCACTGTTCTTCAAGTTTCTTCATCTTCTTAAGATAGTCTCAATAGGAAACTAAGTTTTTGGAATTATTTTTAAGCATTCTTTTCCATTGTCATGACTACTTAAGTACGCAAAATATTAAAAACCCACCTCTTCTGAAATTAGTGTTTCCTGTATGAAGATAATGCCACTTGACTCCACTTACAGCAATGGCAAGCAAACATTTCAGATTAATCCCTAAAATAGCTGGGAGTCCTATTATGGAATTGCACATGAAAAAAAATAGCAACTGTGCCAATAACTGTAGAGCACCCAATGTGATCAACTTCCTGATCTGAATAGTCAACTTACTTCTTTCAGAGTCCAAGATGGAATCGATTTGCACAGTATAAAAGGCCCTAACTAAAACACTTTGCGTCGGAGCGGTCAAACACTGCTCCATCTGAATTCTGGGAACATAATCTCCACCCCCACTCTCTCTCCATTTAAAAAAGGAGGTCAGCAGGTGCAACAGAGTTCAATTTTATAAATACTTTCCTAGGATAATGCTCAAGGAAAGGATAATAGCCTTATATCTGATGGTATTCTGGGACACAGGCCAGTACTAAATAGATCCTGTACTAAATAGATTAAAGGAGAAAGATCTTTACAATGTGCTAGTTGTAACAATCAGAAGAAACCTTATACTGCTTCCTGCTTGAAGGGCTGATGGACAGAGAAGCCTCAATGAAGAATATTAAGACAACCCAGTAATGGCAAACATTTTACAGTTGCTGTTTTTCTTTCCATGCTTATTAGCTAATGCATTTTCAGTGAACATTTTTAAGGTAGTATCTATCTTTTTTTTTAAAAAAATAATGGAAGTATAAGCAATATTAGCACAAGAGATTTGGTTATAAGCAGTAAGACAAAGTTTTATTTTCTAATGCAAAGAGTAGGGGAAAAACATACTTGAGTAATGAAAAGTCTAAAACAAGAAACAAAAAGCTTATCTAAACCATACTAGAGGCAATCCATGCAACTCAGCCAATGTTATTCAAATGCCATCAAAATGAATGATCTTAGGAATCTAAAGCTTGTATATACACATTTATCTCAGTAAACGGTTTCTATAGCTCCCAGAATGTTTAACTACCACAATTTTTCAAATGCCTTATAATATTCAATCATTTATTCTGTAGCTCAATTCACTTATAACTCCCCTAAGAGGTTATGTTTCCATCACCACACTCTAAACATTACAGATGGGGGGAAAAATTAATACTTCCAAGGCCTCATGAACAATCACTAGCAAATTTAGAAGTAGAATTCTTCTAGGCCATAATGCGTCTTCTGTGTCATTTCTAATAATCATAATCAGACAAATATTCAATAAGCTCCTGGGCAAAAGATATATTGTTCCATAGATATCCCAAAACAACATATTTTTTAAAAACCCAAAACATTTCTATCACCCACTCTCCAAATCTGTTCTGCCTCCTTCCACATATTTTCAATCCTGGTTAATGGCTCCATGAAATCCCCAAGATGAAATGTGGAAGTCATCCTTTCTCTTCTTCTTTATCTCCTGTCCTCCCATGCCATTCAAGATATGCAAGATAGTGCCTGGCTGGAGTGGCTCAGTGGTTGAGCGTCAACCCATGATCCAGGATTGATTCCCAGTCAGGGCACATGCCCAGGTTGCAGGCTCAATCCCCAGTAGGGGGCGTGCAGGAGGCAGACGATTAATGATTTTCATCATTGATGTTTCTATCTCTCCCTCTCCCAAGAAGCACCCAGTAACCAGCTGGTGGTGTGATATCAAGCCAACCACTAAGTAGCACATACTAGGCACACAATAAATATTTGCTGAATGAATTTTTGACATATATGTGCAAGACTTCTATGTACTGTGGAGGATAAAGAGGAGTGTGACTGTCTACTGTGATGCAATCTCCTTAAACATGAGGACTACACCTTGTTTTTGTCTCTTTGGCACATACTTAACAAGCACTAATTAATTTTTTGTAGAATGAGGAATTAGTTTAAATTGCATTATAAATGTAAGAATTTTTCCCACTTTTTAAAAAACTGAATTTACTGGGGTGACTGGTTAATGAAGTTATATAGGTTTCAGGTATGCAATTCTACAATACATCATCTATATATTGTAATGTGTGTTTATCACCCCAAGTCTTCTTCCTCCTTCCTTCACCATTTATCCCCCCTATGCCCTTTTCTACCTCCCTTTCCCTCTGGTAATCACCATGCTACTGTCTGTGTCTGATTTTTTTTTTTTTTTACTTAACCCTTTCACCTTTTTAATTTTCCCACTTTTCAACAATCATGCTTCCCTTGCTGATCTCTGACTTGGAGTCAATCAAATCAGTTGATAGGGTTGATTATTTCATTCATTATAACTGATATCAAGTCTAATCTTTTGATTTCAGTGTACCAAAAAAAAAAAAAAGAATCCATACTAACTCTGTGGTTTAAGTTATATTGTCACTGATTAGTTAATGATAATCAAAAGTATTATTAATATTCACAAATTTTATCTAAATGGATCACATAATCTTTCAAGATTTTCAACTACAAAGCGATGATCCCCGAGAAAGCACCAAGCTGCACGGCTCTGCTCAAAATCTGAACATGGTCCAAATGGCAGGTCTCAAAGCTCTCAAGATGTATCCAAACTACAGTACATCGAAGAAGCACTCTTCAATGGGAGTGCTTTCTTATAAGCTATCAACGGGGCACAAACAAAGGGAAAAGAAAGTTTCTGCCAGTTTCCTACTAGGCTACAGAAAAGAAAACATACATTATAAAACATTTGGATAGGAATAATGCAAAAGGTGATAAGGAATTCCATGTAAAATATTAGCACCCTAACTTAACTACAGGTTATCCTCATCTCTAAACTGTTGTTTAGAATTCAGATTGCAAGTGGAAAGGATAAAACGACATGCAAAGCATCTGGCACAGTGCATGGTACAAAGCAGGTGCCAGTACGTGGTCTGCTCAGACACAACGCAGGGCTTACGTAGGATTTATCCACTCAGACTTAGATGCCCATGATAACAACGGGGCCCTGGAGTAAAGTGAAGGGTGGTCTACTGGCCAGAGGTGGTGGTCAGGCCAGAATTAGCGAAGGGAGAGAGGAGGGGAGAACTGGTGGAACAGGCATTATCTTCCCTTTCCTTCGCCACCTGTCATGGTCTGGCTGGGTTGAGAAGAAGTTAGCAGCAGCGGGAGAAGGATTATTTCCACCCCCTACAATGTACACATTATTTGAGTTTTCAACAATAATGATAATAAAGAGGACAGAAACCTGTTCAACGGAAACTGGAGGGAACGAAAGTTGATGGAATTCATGCTCTGCTGAAAATGAGCTCTCCCCGGCCGGTTGCAGTTTCTCTGTAGGGAATAAGATTAGGAAAGAGGAAGAACAAGAGGGCTTAAAAGAAAAAAATGGAACGAATAATCACTTGGAGAATATGTGTGAGAGAGATGAATGGATACATAAGATGAATTATTTAAGAGGTGAATAAAAAGAACTGATTTCACAGCAATTCTGGTTAGATTGAAGCTAAACAATTTACCTGCTGGTGGCAACTCACATGGATACAGAATTGAGCAAAGGCTATATAGTACGCTGAGAGAATGGGAAATCAGTAAGTGGCAATAGAGATGAAGGGGGAAGTTCAGCTTCGTTCTTTCAGGAAACATTTATGAATAGCTACTATGTTAAGTCCTATATTATGGCTGGGATATTCCAAGATGAAGAGGGTAAGATCCAGCCCCCAGGAAACTCACGCACTACTGAAGGAAGATGATGAAACAAAGAAGTTTATTTCTCAGTCCTTGTGGTATTTGGCAACTTTCACTTTTTAAAGCAATTTTTAAATTATTTTAATCCCTAGCATCATATATTTGTGATATTTGTATCACATATAAACTATGCACCATAATAATAAAATGCACATTTGTACACTTACCACCCAACGCACATACAAGAATTTATACTTTTATATTCACCTAAATCCTTCTGCTTGCTTTCCAAACTCTTTGTAATATGAGAGCATATTACATGACCAATCTAATTTCCAGCTATTTCTTCCAAACTTTCTATTCTAGTCAGACATACTGGACAGAATGGTCCACAAACGTAAATGTCCAAGAAAACAGCTCCTCTTTTTATCTAAAAGAAACAAAAATTGAGGAAATATTTTATTTGCCTAATGAATGCATTTCTTACTACAGGAGCCAAGAGCTTTCCTTTATAAATTTTAAATAATTTGGAAAGGTAATAGAAGTTCATATGGATGAATGGTGGTAAGTGCTAAAAAGTACTTCCAAATGTTGTCATGGAAACATAAAATTCCCTGAAAAGGATGTATATAATCTTTTCATTCTGGTAAGAAAAATGTTATTTTATCTTGCACTTTAAAATAAGGTTTACAATTATCATTTAAAACGAACTGTCATTCTTTCCCTTTCATGAACATTTTAAAAAATATATATTTTATTGATTTTTTACAGAGAGGAAGGGAGAGAGATAGAGAGTTAGAAGCATCGATGAAAGAGAAACATCGATCAGCTGCCTCCTGCATGCCTCCTACTGGGGATGTGCCTGCAACCAAGGTACATGCCCTTGACCGGAATCGAACCTGGGACCCTTCAGTCCGCAGGCTGACGCTCCATCCACTGAGCCAAACCGGCCAGGGCTTCATGAACATTTTAATTGTGGTAAAATACTCATGATAACAATTTACCATATTAACCATGTTTAAGCGTAAAGTTCAGTGGTATTAGGTACATTCACATTGTTGTGCAACCATCACCACCATCCATCTCCAAAATTCTTCATTTCTTGCAAAATTCAAACACTTCATACATAACACAGCAACTTCTCATTCCTCTCTCCCCACAGCCCTGGCAACCACCATGCTACTGCTGCATTATTATAATAATAATAATTATTATTATTCCACCAGTGGAATGTAATAGTCTTCCTGCCTCAAGTCTCTCTCTACTTTCAGCTCATGTTAATCCCTTGCTCAGAAGTCAGTGGTAAAAAGAATAAAATGAAGGTGTATATGTCTTACCCAGGGGAATCATACAGTGTATTTGTCCTTTTGTGGTTGGCTTATCTCACTTAACATAATGTCTTCAAATTTTATCCATATTGTAGCAAAATACTATTTACCAGGCACTATTCTACTCATTTTTCATGTTTTAACTCTTCATAACAGCACTGGAGGTAGTTTAGGTACATATATCATTCCTACTTCACAGATGGGGAAACTGAGGCATGGAGAGATCAAGTAACTTGCCCAGGGCCTCCCAGCTTTTAAGTGGAAGGACCAATTTGTGAACCTGGATAATCTACCTCTAGAGCCCACACTCTAACCACTCGATGGCACCACCTCCCAGAGTAAACTGTATATGCTCACACTGTAAGATTTTAGAAAATCCCTTAAAGAATAACTCATCCCTCCCTAAGAAACCTGATAATGACAAGGCTGATAGTTCTGGCATCAGACTCAGCACATCAACACATCTGAGGATATCACGTGGGAATAGAAAATGAGATCTTCAAGAGTGGTCGATGCCTCTTTATTCAATGCCCACCAAGCAAGTGTCCAGGATTCCCCATGCATCATCTCATTTAATCCTCTCAACAGCTTAGGAGGGGGAGCAGTATTTTAAATCCATACTTTATTAGATGAGGAGATCTAGGCTCAAAGAGGCTACACCTTCTGTCCCTCCTTACAGAGCCTGTCAGTGACAGAGGCAGAAGTAGAATCCAGATCAAATTAACCCCATGCCCTTCCCAGTAACTAATGCTACGGGCATTTAGCAGCGGACAGGAATACCGCCAGTCTGTAGAGTTTTTGCCCTCAGAAGTCTAGCATCCCCATCAGATGGACTATGGAGCCATGCTAGTGTGTGTTTAGCTGTGTCCCGAGGCTGTTTCTCCAGCCAGCTAGAAGTTATAGCTGAGTCAACCCTTGTTCGATGAAACAAGAGCTAGCCTATGCATCTGGGCAGGACTGCGGCAGCTCTGAGGACTCCTACACACAAAATACACACATGAAACCTCATGGAAGTTCAAAAACACAGGCTTTGGGGGCTATTATGATGTGGCCCTTCACAAAAAGAGGTTAAAAAATTCTCTAGAGAGCATTTTAATGAGGTTAGAAAACCATGAGAACAGAGCCAGGGTTCAGGAAATTGCTTGTTTTTGCCGCTAATTCCCATATGTTTGACCTCAAAGTTTCTCAAAACTTCATTCTTAGAAAAATGGTTAAGACACAACGTTAAATTAAAAATGCAAAATACAAAATTATGTACAACAACACACTGAAAAATGGTGAAACTTTGGTTTTCACTTCATTATCTTTTTTTCTGAACTTTTCAAATTTCCTATAATAAACATCTATTACTTAGGAAGGAACATCCCCCGCCCCCCCAACCCCAATTTTGCCGGGAGTAGTCTAGTAATTCCCAAGTACTCAAATAGGATACATCAAAATCCCCTGGGATATTTGTTAAAAATACAAATTTTCAGTGTCCAAAGACCTACTCAGTCAGAATTTCCCGGGTGAGGCCCAGGAATCGGGAGTTTTAACAAGCTCCCTAGATGACTATAACATTTGTGTATCAAGGAAATTCTACAGCACTTTCAGGTCTCTTTCTCTTTTTAAGATTTTTTTGAGGACTTTTATTTTTAAACACCAGGCAAACTTACATTAGAATGCAAACGCATAAAATTTAAGTGAGGATAAGTGACTGGGGTGTAGACTCAGATGCCTAAAGTCTCACCATTCATCTCTGCAAACTTCTGAACATCATTCAGGGTTTTCAGCTCTTGTCTTGGACATGCTGCTACGCACAGTGCTTCAGACTTGATCTTCCGGTTGATCAAGTCCAGATTGCACGGATCCAAAAAGAACACATACCTAAAGCATGGAGAAAAATATTGAGATACTATTTCCACAAAATACATTCTGGTTCACTGCGCATCTTACTCAGCCTAAAAGCAAAGAACATCTATTCCATACTCCTCCACAAATTTAATCACAGATGAGGGAACATTTCACAAATCTAATCGCAGATAGGCTTTTTAAAGAAGAATTGCTTATAAATATACTGTTAAAAGCAGAAATGAAAAGTAATTGTAGGGCTCCTTTTTCATGATCTATTTTTCCAAAATGAAAATTTGTCATGTGTATTTTATAATTAGAAATGATCTATTTTTAAAAATAATTGGTTTTAGTTTTATTTTTTTTGTCAAACTTT